CTATTGATCACTTTTAAAGCTCTTCATGGCCTCTCGCCTTGTTATATTTCTGACCTTTTAGTCCCATACGCACCAGCACGTACCTTGAGATCCTCGGGCAGAGGTCTGTTGTCTGTTCCAGAGTCTCGACTGAAAACTAAAGGGGACAGAGCGTTTGCTGTCAGGGCCCCGAGGCTCTGGAACAGCCTGCCCGAGGAAATCAGGACGGCTGAGTCAGTGAACTCTTTTAAGTCCCTTCTTAAAACATACTTTTATAGGAGAGCCTTTCCTGATTTATCTTTATATATTTTATATTGACTTTTAACATGTGTTTTAGTCTCTTACGTGTTTTCTTGCTTTGATCATGTATTTGTTTTTATGTGTTTTATTATCTTTACACTTTGTAAGTAGTTTTTGAAAATTGCTCTACAAATAAAGATTATTTTTATCAAATTAGCTTTTTACTTCAGTTTTTGGGACTTTGAAAATTGATTTATCCTCACTACATCTGTTTCTACTGTTGTCGTTAGCGTCGGTCGGCCCCCAGAGCTCTGTGATGCTGCTACTTCATATTTATGTAAAAAACTGAGAAAACTGCACATTACTTGGAGAAAACAAAGCGAGGAAGTTGAACTACCAACATTCATTCCCCACACCAGACTCCACCACTTGTTCACCACTTGCCAACAAAGTCCCCTAAAACTGATTCCTCAGTAGTTTGTTTCAGATTAGTTTGTTGTTGTGTCTTTTATATAGCAACTTTCATGAAACCTAAGTTATTATTATAATTATTATTGTTATTATTATTATTATTATTATTTTAAAAAGAACCAATGTTGACTTTTTGTTTTAACATGGAGAATTTACCCACGTCTCCCGGGTGAAAGTCCTTTTTCTGACACACCCGTCCACCCTAACCACCTCTTACTCAGACTTTTCCATCCTTCTGTCCTTCGGATGAGATGTTAAACCGAGGTCCTGACTCACTGTGGTCATTAAAAAGATCCCATGGCACTGATCACAAAGAGCAGTGGGTTTTCCCGGTGACCTGGCAAAATTCCCAACCTGCATTTCTACATCTGGTCACCAAATCATCCCCCACCTCTATGTTTCCCTCCCTCTCCACCTTAAGCTGATGTTTGGTTCCCATCCCCCCAAAGCGCTCTGGGTGTGTTGGGAACCCATGTAAATGTAATTATTATTATTATTATCATTATTTTCTGCTTACATTTAGTGCTGAACAGTGATGCTTCCCCCAGTGTATTACAAACTGACGCCTGCATTTTTGTTAACATTGTGAAACATCTCACTTTGGTTAGGTTTTGGAAACACTACATGGACAAAAGTACTGGGACACCCCTGTCCCAAAACTTTTGGCAGAGGCTGTTTTTTCATAGCGTGGTCTTGATGCTACAGCAGATAATTTTACAACAGTTTGCTTTTGGCCTTTTCTTGTTTCAATGTGACAACGTGCACAAAGCAGTTCCATAAAGAAATGGTTTTCCCAGTTTGGTGTGGAGATCCTACTAGCGATCCACTAATAAAATACTGTTGTGACGACAGCAGGACAACCCTAGTCATGTGACTTTGACAGTGACCTCTGAGCATGGATGACAGCGGGAAGAGAAAAAGGGAGAGTCAGGAGGGATTAACCAACAAAGAAGAACGATGTGGTGATGAGAGAGAGAGCTGGAGGTCAGAGGGAAGGAACTGACAGACAGCTGATAAACATGATGACAGCAGAACCGCCAGTGTGTGTGTGTGTCTCATGGCAGAGGATGAAAGCGGCAGTAAATTCTCTCTTTTACTTCAAAAGGATGTTTCACACTCCAGTCAGACAGATGCAGGCAAACACACAGATCCTGGTGCACCTGGACCAGTGATGGATGAAACGCAATGAAACAATCAAGTCAGCAAATTCTCGCTGAAAGTTAGAAATATGTTTCATTCAGAACTCCCTTTAAAGAAAACAACAAAAACCTTAAACTTGTTTCCAACACATTCCTGTGAGGTGAGGCGGGGTTGATTTTCCACAGTGCAACAGATTAACACGACTAACACGTGTAATGATTGATCATTTAATCCTCAGTTTAATTGTCTGTAAACAACAAGTCTAAAGCCTCGCTCACACTACGCCATTTTCACTCAGCGAGCTCGGCGAGCGTCGGGCTGTGATCGGTGGTAAATCAGCGGTCGATCTGCGGTTATCTTTATAATAACAAACAACAGCTGTTTTGTGTGCAGGTTCGCGTCATTTCCCGTTTCACTTTTCAGTGTTTTCTTGACTAAACCTGGTTTGGAGACCGGCGTCGGGTGACACAACCGCTGTCAGCTCGTGTAGTGTGTGACCCCCTGTCACCCATCAGTCACGTAGAGTGAACGCCACAACCACTTCAAGACTCCCGTCACAAGACGGCAAGTTGTGTAGCGTGAACGGCACGGCCGTCGACGCTCAACGTCGTGTAGTCTGCACGAGCCTTTAAGAGTCTGCCGCCAAGCTAGCCACGAACATCAGCATGCAGCATGTAGGTTGACTGTGAAGCCGCTTGTTACGACCCATATTTATGTTTATTGTTAGGCCGTGACCTCTAGTGGCCGAATGACGGGAGCAACGGAGAAGGTCAGGTGACGTAGGATAAAGAGCGATAAAAGTTGCAGGACTTTCACAGAGGAGACCGAGGATTGAGTTCTGTGTGAAACAAAGTCAGTGTTGACTTACTTACAATTTTAAGTTAAATAACATCCTTATTTCAACCCAAACCACAATATATTTTTTCAAATCTAACCAAGTGGTTTGGTTGCCTAAACCCAAGCAGGAACCTCAGTGTGAAGAGCCTTAAACCTGTTTTCTCTCTAGCAGCCAGCAGGGGGCGACTCCAGCGGCTGCAGAAATAAAATGTTTCTACTTGTCAGCTGATTTATTCCCTCAGTAAACACTTTCCTGATGAGTTTATGGTCTCAAGTTTATGGTCTATGGTTTCAAGTCTTCTTCAACACAGCATGATGTTCATTTAGTAAATTATGGTCCCATTTAGAGGAACAGAGACCAGGAAGCAGGGGAGGCTTTAGGGCGGGGCTACAAGCTGATTCATTTTTTTTCGTTAAGTACATTTTGTTTTAAGACTGTTTTTTGCTAGCAAAAATTAGCATCCCAGCTAATATCACAGTTAACTTGTATTATGAATGCACCTTGCTAACCAAGCTAGCTAGCTCCACCCTCTTGTCCAAAATATGGTCACGTCTGGTTCCAAAAAACCAAGATGGCAACTATTTTGTCATTTAGGTATGAGGACGTGTTGCTAACATGTTGATGTTCACCATGTTAGTTCAGAGTGGTAGCATGCTAACATTTGCTAACTCCAATCAGATAAAAGGTTTGGTAAGAGTTTCAATCAATACCACAAGCCAACCTCTTGGTGATGCTAGAGGAAATATCAGAGGATTCTTTGTCTGGGGAACATGAATGTATTCAGTCAGAACTGATGGGATTATTTTAGTTGGAACCAAAGTGGTGGAGCCGAAGACCAACATTAGCATTTTTGTAACAACGCCACTAGCATCGATACAGACACAGAAATAACAAAGCACAAATGTTGAACAGCAATGCTTCAGTATGAAAATTAAGATCTTTAGCTGAGTGATCCCCAACTCGATCACAGCTCCGCGCTTCAGGAGAATTTTCACATTTCCAGGTGCTTGACTTTGAACTGACTGAGGAGGAAATTAATTAGGATTGAACAGGAACTGGAGAAACTGTCCCATGCAAACGAGCACGAAGCACAAGGACTATGCGTTCAACTCCAGTCTGCTCGCTTTCCTGCTCTTCAGAGCAGTTTTCAGTACTAGTGTAGCTTTACATCAGATTTTCATTTTCCTGTTACATTTCTCAAGAGAAACATTGACTTCTTTTATTTCCAGTACGCACTCACAGAACTTTCTAAACCCAACACTCCTTATTAGGACATTTTCAAGTTGCATGGATGGACTAGTAGCTGGAGAGGTGCCAGTTGGCCTTCTGGACACAACTGAGGTGCCCTTGTGCAAGGCACTGAACTCCTAACTGCTCGGAGCGACCTCCTCTGAGGCCGCCACCTCGCTCTGACATCTCGCCACACATCACGTGTATAGGTCCCGTCTGTGCATGTGTTTAAAAATGTGAACAACATAAAGTTACACCTGCAGTAAACAACAGACACACCTTGTGTAAAAAGACAAAAGAAGATATAGAAGCTGTAAACAGAACAAAGTGACATTTCAGCCAGAAGAGATTCAGAAGAGGGAGAGGGCGACGATGGACAGAGACGAGCAGACCAACTGAGAACATTTAATGTTGACTTAGTTTCTTTCTTGAGGGATCGGTTTGAGATTTTAATGTTGTGCATTTTATGGTTTCTAAAAAGTCAGTTCTGAGCATGTTTGTCCATCCTGCAGCGGGGGGGGGAATGGGGGGGGGGGAGGTGTGTGAGTGTGTGGAGGCCACCTGCAGGTAAAATGGCCCAGAGGCATTCACACCTGGCCAGTAAATCTCAGCTACAGCTAGCTCCTCCCAAACGCACGCACACAGCTGTGCACTGTACTGCTGTAATTTATACATGTCCTACATTAAACCACAGCAGCATCGTGATTGGCTGACAGGTAGGGAAGACCGGGTATGGTGAGGGATAAGAGGTCATTTCAGTATTTACCCACTTTCTTCCCGATCAGGCACAGTGGGTATCAAGTCTGGAAACAGGTTCATTCAGAATATAGACTGAAAAACTAAAGGTAAGAATCAGTATCGGGGCAGGACAAGGGAACACAATGCTTCTGACATCAATCATCACACTTTGTTTAAAAGTTTGACAAGTCTAGCTAAAAAATTCAGTGAGCAAAAAGCGTTACAACCACGCCCGGTCTCCCCGACTTTAAATGAAGGCCAACACCTGAATATATCAAAGCCCTCATGGTTTTCTGCTGCTGACGGTTTGTACTGTACGTGTTACAGATATCAGCAGGTCGGCAGACGCAGCTGTGCTTCTTACCTCCACGATGCTCTTCAGGTCTCTGACGTAGGCCTGTTCGGTCTCCACGATCTCCAGAACCACTCGCTCCAGCCGTGAAAGCTGTCTGGGCGTGGCCACTGCCGCCACTGCCGCCGGATTGGCTACATCTCCACTAGGGGGGTGGCCTCCACCTGTTGCACTGGCAACAGAGACCCCTCCTCCTCCTCCAGCAACAACTCCTCCGTGCGGTGTGACGAGAGGCGTGAGGTCCAGGCTGATGTCCGAGCCGTTCCTCTTCGGCGTGGAGGACGATGACGAAGAGGCATTGTAGGTCGGCACGGCGCCGTACGGCAGAGAGGAAGAGGAGGAGGAGGAAGAGGAGGAGTGGGAAGTGTCCTGCAGGGAGACGGAGGAAGCAGAGGAGGAGAGGGAGAGGGAGGCGGGACGCTCCCCGTCCGAGCAGACGGTGTTGACGGAGGTGCAGGAGGAGGAAGAGGCTCCTCGGTCGCCGGACGACATCATCCTACCCACAATCCCACTCAGAGACGAGACTGAGGAGGGACGCTTGGCGGCTGCAGGGGAGACAGAGAGGAACAATTTAGAAACAGTCGGTCCCATGACGCCGTTTGTACAACCCAACCAGGACACGATGTCTGATCTGTTTCAATAAACATCAAACGTATCGCAGTGTCCCAAAAACGGAAGCAATCATCAAACTAGACAAACAAAAAAGAACAAGCGCGATCACAACTCCTCCATGAAGCTTCATGAAGAGACAGAATTGTCTTTATATCGAACAGTGTTTGAAATCACTTGGTTAAAAAGTTCAACTTGTTCATCGCATAAATGTGTCACACTCCAGTTGTGTTGAGTGCTGCTCTCGAGGCAAAACAAAGAGCCCCAATTTATTTGCTTATGTAACATTATTTTAAGGATCCGCATTAGCGACGCCAAAGAAATCAGCTAATCTTCCCGGGTCCACAGCTGACATTCTTTACATAACAACATACACTGAGGAATGTTCTTTGTGTCTACGTGTATGTATATGTGTACATAAATAACTGCATATATGTTGTTGTTTTTTTTGCAGAAGAAGAGGAGTTGGGACGTGTGGGTGTTTATGGAAATGCTGGCGATGACGTGGTCGATGTGTGGTCCGGCTCCTGAAACTCTGCTAGTTGGTTCCACTAAGCTGAATTAGTAAAACCTACCTCAACATAGTGTACATTAACACATATTTAAAAATATATCTATGCAATTGAAAACATTCATATACAATTCAGAGTTTTCAGTCACGTGACCTGGAGGGCAAATTTAACACAGCTCAGACTCGTCTCCTCCTTGATTAGTAAATCTGAAAGCACAACAACCGTCCGGCATTTTGGCAACGCAAAAAGTAACAAACTCAAAGTAACAGCGTGTCACTTGGTTGGCGGGCAGCGGAAAATAACGTCTCCATTGTTTTCATTGGAATGTGACGTCACGTAAAAACTGTGAATTAAAGCTAGTCACCACTAAACATACAAATTAGATGGAATACTGATAGATGACATTTTAAAAAGTCTGACATCTATGAACCCAAAAGATGTGCTCCTCATATTGTTTTTAAAGGATTATTGTTTTTTTAGTTAGATAGTAGGTAAATTATTCCTCTTTTTTTTTGTCCGTTGAATGCGATTTTTTTTAGTTAGTCCTAAAACGACCATCACCAGCAAATCTGCTGCTGTGGTTCTGAGTGTTCTTGCAGAAAACTATTTGTGCGAATAAAAATGTTGTGGTGCAGCTGAAATATGTGGCCATGCTTATTAAGGAAATCGTTTGCTCATTTGGGAGCCATGAGAGGCTGGAGTGCAACTTTTCAGTGCTAGTTCTAATAGAGCAGCCCAGAACCAGTCTGGCAGCCCTGTTCTGAAATGGTTTTGGTAAGAAGCTCACTCAGGTAGCACACCTCACAACCACCTGCAAGAACACGTGACCAGCAAACTACTGCTGCTCGAAAACTCAAAAGACCATCATAGATTAGCGGTGCATGCGGTGCGCCACCACGCCAACCAGCTCTCAGACACGGTCCATGTGAAAGATATCTGGTGCGGTTAAACAGCAGAAGACACACGTGCATTTAGGAATAAACATACTGAAAGTTAATATAACTTATACCATAGCAGTCCTGGCCTGCTGCAGATCACAAGAACAACAAACACTGCAGTGCCTCTAATAGATTACAGACATGAAAACCATCAGATGTTAGTCATTATAAACATTTCCACTAAAATACACTGACTTATGTCTCTCCTTTCCTTTTTATTTTGATTAAAACATGTTTTACACATCAGTTCTGCACTTCCTGTCGTGACAGTTAGAAAAAGAGAACTATAAAACCAACAGTGAGAGGAAACTGTGGTCTGAGTTCAAAGTGACAGAAAGAGATTCTCACTTTGTCCAGAAGCAGCTCTCGGTTCAACCACAGCCACATACACAGGAGAGCAAAAGACACCTGACGGTCATCGTCCATGTAAACTGCAAAAGGAACCAGTCGATCAACTGATCGATCAGTCCTGGTCCCTGCGAACAGCTGACAGTCGGATCCTCTCGTGTGCAAATATTTACTGATTCACTGTGTTGCACCTTTAAATAAAGGCAGATGCAGAGCGGAGGCTTGTTTGCTGCTCGGCTGAGCGACTGACTAACACAGCTGGCTCTATTATACACTCACAAACACCTGTGAATATGTGTGCTGCCGTCCAGACATCTGCACTGTTAAACTGTTTCCCAAAACCTGCCGGCTAATAAGAAGGATAACCTGTGTGTGTGTGTGTGTGTGTGTGTGTGTGTGTGTGTGTGTGTGTGTGTCCGCTGCCTCATTATAAGAAACTCCTTTCAAACAGCTCGATGCAACCCGCCTACCTGTCAATCAAACCGTCCTCCAGGCCGCCTCGGCTCAGCGCTGTATTTGAAAACTGTCCACCGTCCAGTCTGTCAGATCGTTATCAGATTTCTTTTTAATTTCAGCGTCTCAATGTTGGAGAGCAAACCTGCAGCTGTCTTTCTCAGTGTCAACAGGAAGTGTGTGCGCAGCAGAGCAGAGCATCAGATCAGATGTCTTCCCCCCTTTTTGCCCAAATTTAATTCAATGTGAAATGAGCAACACGTCTTTAAAGGTGATGACATGATTGGTACATCAGTGTTTGTCCTCTGTATAAGTATTTCTATTATATATACATACATATAAATCAGCTCGGAGGCTTTTTACTTAACTTTAAAACACTAAAAAAGATAACTTCCCTGTTTGGGATGATCACGCAATGACTTCATTTTATTTATCAAATTTATTTATTTTTCTCTGTAAAGCTCTTTAAATGGTCTCTGAAGCGCTGCAGCTGTCCTCTTCCTCATAAAGGAATAGCTCAACGTTTTAGGAAATAAGTAGGGATGCACTGAAATTAAAATTCTTGACGGAAGCCGAAAAAATTTGCCAAATACTGAACAAGTACATTCACTTTTTTTCTTTTTGCCAACTTCTCTTTTTTTCGCATCGCATAAATTAAAGTCAGAATGAGCTTTTTCCTCAGTGTTTCCTGCAGGATGTGCAGAGACTATGGTGAGGGGTCCGGGGCCCGAGAGGCTCCGGTAAAGTAAATTACATGAGTCCGTTTACTTTTAATAGACACATGTAATATGTTTTATACTTTCTGTGAACATAATCCAGTTAATTATATTATTTCCATCCTGTACAGACGCCTTCTTTTGAAAACCGGACGTCGTCACATGTGTTTCCTCCTCGCGCTAAATCCATCCAGTCCGACCCGGTTTGATAAATAATGTTGTAACATGAAGACTTCACAGCCGGATGGAGATGGAGCGGATTAGACCGAAAACGAATGTGCTTTTTTTTGCTATTTTCAGACGATTAATTTGGGTGGCCGAACATTCGGTGCATCCCTAGAAATAAGCTTATTCAGAAAGAGTTAAATGAGAAGACTGGAACTGGAGCGGGAGTCAGGACGTAATTAGCTTAGCTTAGCTTAGCTTAGCGTAAAGACTGGAAGCAGGGGGGAAACAGCTAGCCTGGCGCTGCTCAAAGACAAAAACACACCTGCCAACATCTCTGAGACCTTTTTCCACGCTCACATAACTGTCTGATATCAAAGAAGCAAAGTGCAAACACATCCAAAAAGCATTCAAGATGGACTGAAACCCAACAACTATCAACAATCTAGCAAGAAACATTCATCCATGATGCATAAATAATCTGTACTCCTCCCCAACCCAGTTCTCAGGGTGAAATAGCTATGCTTTGTCAACATGAATCCTAACGTAAGTAATGTTACTTAACTTATGTAACGTAGTTATTTTAAGAAAAACCACAACCTTTTCCTAAACCTAACCAAACTGCGACATTTCACAACGTTGACCACTAGTTTTCTTTTGAAAGTGTATCTGGTCGTTGCATATTTATTCTTGCTAACTTGACCGCGGAGCCGTACACGTACAGAAACGGTGCTTAAGGGGTACCCAGGGTGTTAAAGAGCAACGCCAAAGAGTCTTGACCAAGATTAAGTGACGCCCTGGGATTAGAATGGGTTTCTGTGAGGTTGTGGATAGCTGTTAGCCCTTCTGCTAAACTACTATTGCTGTAACTAAACTTCTGAGGTGCAGACTTTCTTCTAGCTTCAGGTGAATTATCACCTCCATCTGAACTGGAGGAGGCCCGACCCTGATTTACATGTAGCCCAGAAAACAGAGATGGATTGTGATCAGATTAAAATGTAAGTGTGTCTTAAATTACATCTTTATCAGGACACGAGACAGTTTAAACAAGAAGTGTAACTGGGTCCTAAAGCTCACTAATTAACTCATCTCTTGTTATTTAATTTGTACAGAAAACAGAGATGTAAAAAACACAGTTTGTGGTTTTAGATTGAGTAAAATGTTGAACTATTTCTTGGCAAAAAAACAGTTGATCTATTTTTGGTCTCTACACAGGGACGATGGCACCACAGCTGCCAGCCTCACTGTGATTGACTCTGGGTTGGAAAGTCTCCTCTTGTAAAACACATCATTTCATGTTTAAAAATGTAATTATATAATTTCCCTTCGTCACAACTTCTTGAAATCATTAATCATGTCATTTCCAGTTTCCACCCAGACAACAAATCACCTGTTGGCAGAGAGACGCTGAAGTGGAGAAGTATTTAAACTTAATTAGTGTTTGAATTCCAGACATCCCGGCAGGAGGAATTTCCGAACAGAGAGTGTTAAATGACAACTTTTTCCTACATGGACCAGTAAGACGGCTGTAAAGCAGTTCACCTCCTCGTACATGTGGTATGTCCACGTGGCGAACGTGGTACAGACTCATACTTGTGGTTAAAAGAGTTGTTGTACTTTGTTCCACATCAAGAGGTGATGCTTGATTTGGAAAACCACCAACATATTTTGTAAAAACTCAGCGGACCCTCAATTGTTTTTAACTTGTCGTCACCAATTCAGACACTCGTAAATCAGCGATGCTTGTTGACAGAGGAGTCTGTGTTGTGGCCCAGCTCAAACTTAGGTTTATGCAAATGAGGTT